TTATCTGTTTTCGGTATTAACGATTTGGTGGTATCGGTTCAACGAAAGTTGTGCATCATCCAAACTCCTCATTGCTAGCGTGAGAATTTGTCGGATTCGCTCCAACTCGGTAAGTATTCTATTAATTTTTCTGTCTTCATAGTCTTGATCTGTGTTGATTTGTGTTGTTTTGTTTCCTGGCATTGAGTCCAACAAACCCTCACCTTCCCAAACACCAACCATTATCTTTTCCATTGCTCATGAACCTTCCATCCTCATCATCATCGAACATCACCATTTTACACTCTCTTCAATTTCTCTCCTTCAACAGAACCACTCAGAACCACTACAAGCTTGAATAGCCACCTAAAACCATTGTTCGGCCTTGAACCATCAAAACATGCCCTCATTCGTGTTCATGTTACTCATGAACCATACAAAAACTCAACAAATAAACACCTGCACACAAAACCAGTACAACCACACTGCTAAATCACCTGCGCACTCTACTCCCTTAACCAACAAAATCAACACTCACTGTTTTCGTTTTCAACAACCTCGCAAACTCAACCAGAAAATCCTTCTTCAACCTTAACCCCCCACCTTTCAATCTTGGGCAACCATTTTTTCATTCTCAAAATCAACTCAACAACAACCGAACGTTCACCTTTAAAACCAACCACTGAAACTCGTCAATTCCTTCGGATCTCTTCCTCCTCCAAGTCAATAAAAACTTCCATTAAACTTCACTAAGGCCAATCTCCAACTATCTCAAACAAAGCTCAACTCAAATGAACAAACTTCTATGGAAACCTCTTCTCTTGCAAACCCATCAAATACTCCTTCCACTCCCACCTTCGTTCAACTTTCGTTACCCTTAAAACCAACTCGAATTCGAAAACTGTGAAAACGCAAACTTCTCACCGTGAAACAAACCAAAACCCAGACAAACTCGCCACAACCAGTTCTTCAACAACACCAAACCTTTTCCACAAACTCGTTTCTAAAACCCGCCAGTGACCCATATCTCTCTTCCAGAAAAATCTTCGAAGACCACTGTTAACTGAAACCTATCCCTCGCGATCTCCATAACCCGTGAATCATCTTCATTACCTCATGAAACCTCAAACGAAGCTTCATCAACCGCCATCCTACATTAAGCTTCTTCAGAGCTTCTGAAACCACCATAGAAACCCTTTCCGTCACTCCTTCAAATTTCCGGTCAACAAACCTTCAAACCTAAACCAGATCCAAAGAAATCAAACAGAGAGAGACTCAGATGAAGAGAAAATTGGACAAAAGAGAAACTGATTCAAACCCAGGAACACGCATGAACGATTATGAACTGAGCTAACCCCCGTTTCAATTCATCCTTCCCTCCATGTTCTTTTTTATATTTTATTTTATCATGTATATTATTATTATTAATTATTATACTTGCTGTTTTTATGTAAATTATCTATATTATACATTTTATTTAGTTATACATTTTATATATTTTATGAACTTTGTAAGTATATTATTATTTTATATTGATATCTTCCTAGATTTTCTATATATATTATATATTAGATAGTTTATAATATAGTTATATATATTTAGAGTTTTATTAATATTTTCTTTTAGAATCTATATGTTGTTTTCTTTTTGTGTATATAATATTTAGAAGTTTATACTTTTAGAGTTAAATTCTATTTCTCATTTATTATTGGGCATTTTGTCCCGTTTTCATTTGTTTTGGTCGATGACGAAAGTTCCATAAATCGATTACTAAGTCAATGTATTGATAAGTATCGTTGGATCTGAGACCACCTCTTTTCTCTCCTCGCTTCTTGTCCCAACTCGATTCAAAAGCATTGACAAACCATCTTCAATATCCAATTATCTTTGTATTGAATTAAAAGAGGGGATTAAGTGTAAACTTTCTTCCTCTCCGAGTGTTGGGATGCCCACTGTAGTGAGGGTAGTTTCGACACTCGTCTTTCAATACGAAGACGCTTCCCATCCATTTTCAAATCTCATCTCCTTAAAATCAATTCTTTGTATTGAATTAAAAAGAGAGGACTGGGTGTAGACCTCTTCTTCTTCGAGCGTTGGGATACCCACTGTAGCGAGGGTGGTTTCGACGCTCGTCTTTCAATATGAAGACGTTTCCATACCATCTCTCCTAAAACCTCAGTCCCGTACCGAGTCCATCTTCAAACCATAATAAATTGATTTCTCTTTGTATCGAATTAAAGAGAGAGGATTGGGTGTAGACCTCTTCTTCTTCGAGTGTTGGGATGCCCACTGTAGTGAGGGTGGTCTCGATACTCGTCTTTCAATACGAAGATGCGACTTTGTCCACCACCTATCCCTTTCACAACTTCCTTCCACAATTTTCACACCTAAAACCTCGGTCCCGTACCGAGTGCATTTTCAAACTTATTTTCACAACAAAAAACTTGAATGGTCGTGGAGTGGTTAGGCGTAGGCCTTCTCCTATCCCGAGTGCTGACGTTTACCGTAGGGTTCTCTGTCGCCAAGCACTTACCATTCAAAACCAAAAACATCTTTAATAAGAGAATGAAGTTCTCTTTGCATTGAATTAAAGAGAGAGGATTGGGTGTAGACCTCTTTCTCTTCGAGTGTCGAGATGCCCACTGTAGTGAGGGTGGTTTCGACGCTCGTCTTTCAATACGAAGACACCTCGTTCGCCACACATTTTCATAAAACAAAAACTTTGAGATAACGAATCGGGTACTACCCGTAGGGGTTACTATCCGAGGACCTACCTCGTCCCTAAAAAATAACCTCACAAATCAAATGTGACACCTTGCCTCGTCTGGCGAAAACCTTATATCTTTCAAAAAGGATATGTTACGTCCGTTCTACCGCAAACAGGTAACGCATAAGTCTCCTCACATGCGAGCAGCAAAACACCTGAACTGCTAGAATGCGCACGATAGCGTCATCCACAAAACACCAACACTCCGTAGGCCGAACTACGGCTGCTCTGATTCTTTACTTCTTTCAAGTAAAGATACGTAGGCACAAGGGCCACAATCCTTGTCGAGCACTTTCCCCCCAATATCCGTAGCCCCGAACTACGTCGACTCTGACTTTCTCATCCGTTGAGAATACGTAGGCCTAGGACCGCGAAGTCCTATCGAGTCTTTTATTTCCTCCGTTACCTCTCTTTCCCCGTTTCTAAACCCTTCTCTCTATCTTTTGGAACAACTTTTTAGCATAATATTTAAGCAAATAAATTCACACATCGACAAACAAAAGGTTCCCATCGAATACGATGGATGCGAGGGGTGCTAATACCTTCCCTTCGCATAACCGGCTTCCGAACCCGTTCTTGGTCGCGAGACCATCTTATCCATTTATTTCCTAAGGTTTTCTCGATATTTTCCTTTTCCCTCATGGGATAAATAAAGTTCGGTGGCGACTCTTCTGTCCTTTCTCTTCGCCTCCCCGTCGTTGCACGATGCATTTTTCGAGTAGTGACAAGGTGTAGGCAATCTCCCGAGACAGCGGAGGCTGATAAAAAAGCTGTAAAAGACCTTCTAGAGGCAAATTTTATTTCGGATACCTGATACGCAACCTAGCTGTTCAACATTGTATTGGTTAAAAAGTCTAATGGAAAATGGAGAATGTGCGTTGATTATACCGATCTTAACTGGGCATGTCCCAAAGATGCATATCCATTGCCTAACACCGACAAAATGGTCGACAATTATGCAGGTTTTAAACTACTATCATTCATGGACGCCTACTTGGAATATAACCAAATTTCCATGGCAAAGGCCGACAAATAGCACACGACTTTCATGACCGATTCGGGTAATTATTACTACAACGTAATGCTCTTCTGTCTGAAAAACATCGACGCGACCTAAAATTTTGATATCCAAATTTTTTCGATTAAATAATAAAATATCTAAAATAACATTTTAATAATAACTACTTCAAACGAAATTTTCATTTGAAACTTATATGAAAGTTTTCTTTATAAATTAATTTTTTTCGAAATTTTATTACACTATAAAAATTATTTTTTTAAAAAAAAAACTCAAAATAAACAGACTAAATATTATCTTATAATAATCTATTATCATATTTTTGAATTAAAAAAACAATTTCAATAATCACATCTTTTGAAGTTGGAATAGGCAAAATGCAGTCATATTAAAACAATTCAATTGATAATTATCTAAAGACATTATATGAAATTCAAATCCGCAACATTCTACTAATTCATCTCTAAAAGAAAATTTTAATAAGGAGAAAAAACATAAGGGAGATGCATTAGCTATGTATCATACCAATTTCCAAGTCACATTTATCGTGTTATCTTTGAATTTGATTCTAAAGCGTGATGTATGGATAATATCTTTGAATTTGATTCCAAGTTTGATCGTTCATAGTTTTTGAAACGATAATATTTTCATGTAGGGCCTTTTGTCACATAATTCAAAGTTTTAATATGAAACCCCTTTCTGTATTCTCTTGTGAGCACTGACTTTGACCATTCTTACGTAACATATTCCACTTTTGAATGGAAAAAAGTTGAGGTATGTTTTTACCAAGTTATACATATTCATACATAAACATGTTACTCGGTAACATTTTTAAGACACTAATAATTCAATACATCAGATTATCAAACTAATTAATAATAATTCATCGAAATTAAAGTCATACTATGCAACTATGGCATCCGCTGAAAAATTAGGATAAAATTGGTCAGATCTAAAATTGACTAATAGCAGTCACTTGATCAACAACATATACATAATGCCTAATGGCTTGATTATCTCCAAATTCACCAGCCACTTAAACATCCTAGAATAACCACTTGTTTGCCTGGTTTATAAGCAACTTTTTACCAAGAACAATATCCAATCTATTCTAAAGTATCAGCATCATCCAACCTTGTTAAGTTAACTCATGGTCTACTAACATAACAGCAATAAGTTGTGTAGCTCGCTGTAAACCCGTACACATCCACACAATCCCCGTGTATGGAACTGTACCTAGAGCTCCAGATTCTTTGCCGCTAAACTAAAAAAGTTTCTTAAATCCTCCTTCACCGTATTATCTGCAAATATAAACTCAACAGCATTCTTTGATAGCTCAAACATCTCCTTCCTTCCAAGGCCTAGATAACATCCAAAACAACTAGTTAGCAACGTTTACTAGGCATTAGTTTACATTCTATCTAGTTCGAGAGTAAAGTGAAACTTACCGAATGAAGAAGCGGCTATTTTGTATTCATTGGAGAGACTGGTAGAGAACACACCAGAGTCATCAGTACACAGAACTACAGGATGTTTTGCTTTATACAAGTCCACTGCATCAACAAAAGCACAGTATTAAAGGACAGTGACAATACAATGAGGCTCTTTTAGTAATTCTATCTTTATGATTTTCAATTTGAAAAGTAAACAAAATAACCTACCAAAATGATGAGCATCTATTGATGGAACGGACAGTGTCCTGATGTTCGATGTCAAGCAAAGTTCAACCTGAAAATGATGAAGATGATATAGATTTAGAATATATGAAACTTGTCAGTCAATAACTTGGGAAGAGACGATATCCTCATATGAAGCATTCAAATTCATACATTGGTTTTTGCCAGTTGAGCTAGGATTTGCAGACACTAGAAACTCACACACACAACTGTAAAAACAGGGGTTTAAGTTCTGGTGATGACGTCCAACCTAGCAATACTGGTTTTTGCCAGTTGAGCTAGGATATGCAGACACTGTGTTGCTTTATCATAGTGTAATTAAAAAGGCATTGCAAGTCCTACCGGAATTTTAGAGGACTTCAGCTTTCTCCAGTGTTCCTCCTCAAAGAAACATGCATGTCCAATCCTCCCAGGAAGAAAGTCAAGCATATCATGTATCTCTCTCGAATTAGGTACCTAAAAATACATTATAACTCATAAAAACAAACCAGCCAGGGAAACAAGACTAGTAACAGATACAGAGAAAAAGAAAATTACCTCTCCACAGTGAAGAGTTACGTAAAGACCTTGCTCTCGAGCAAATTTTAATGCTGGAAAATATGTAACCCTGTAAATGATAACAAGGGATTTTGAGCTTAAGCATCAGTTTATAATCTTTGAAATATGGCATCTTAGATCAAACTGATAGACTAGTACCATTCACCAACAGCTGGATTCCCAGAGAGGTCAATTCCAACGACCCCAAAATGCCTCATTTCCAGGGCAAGCATGACCTACAGCAAAGAAGCGTATTCAAAGGAAGTAATAAACAGATTTAAGTTTGCCGAAACTATTTGTGTATTACACTTACAGTTTCCATTGCTGCTTCTGATGTTTCCCTACGGTCAATGCTTAAGAGAAGTCTAACAAAGATTTGTTTCCTAGTATTTTCATTAATTTTATCATTTGTAGCTAAGACTGAGTGTATAGGGTTTGAATGAATTTGTAACTCCTCGTTGTGAGGAATAAAACACACATCAACTGAACTCACAGCTCTTAGACCTTCCAGAACAGCTTCAATATAAGAGCGTTTGCTCATTCCTTTGGCCTCATTTTTCTGCATGAAATTAAGCGAATATTTTTTTCACCAAATTCATGGAAACAAGCAGACACAACATTGCCAACTGAAATCCTTTAGTTACCTTTGGAGTAGTTCTCAACTCCACATACACAACATTTTCTGACGCAAAATCTTCAACAACCTGCGTTTTGAATTTGCTAGCATAAATGCGAAGGCAAAAATTCCAGATTAATAAAATACTGACAGTAAGCGCTAAGCAAGCAAACACACTTCTTTGGTAATTCTTGTAACGGTGGCATGGTCAGTTGTAAGAATGTGGATTACGTCAAACAGCTTGAATACCTCAGATAATGAACGATCATCTACATTGACAAAACTACAATCAGCACTATAAGGATACTAGTACCAATTTTGGTTCTTGTATTGGGAATCACAATAAGTGTACTAGCAATTATATGGTTACAAAAAGAAATATATGCAGGGATACAACAACATATTGGACCTGAACCTGAATACATTGGTCCTTTTGGAATTCTTCAAGCTCTACCAGACAAAACAAAACTACTATTCAAACAAAAGCAATCGAGTCTTTTTCATTAGGTGCGATCAATTGCTTGGACGAGTCAACACTGCTTACAGTCTATATCATGTATTAAGTGCACGGATAGAAAGGGATATAAGGTTGGTCAGGTAGCTAGGGCAGGGGAGTTAAGTAGCAGAGTGATAAGGATGTTGAGGATTCAAACTCCACTCCTAGCATAATACTAACAATTACTAACAATACTAACATATGAGGTTTTAAAAAAAAGTACATAGATCTATAGTTTTCTTTGGTCTCCCGTTATCTCTAACTAATAGTGATTGCTCTATCCTCTATCTAAACAGGTTGGTCAAAATAGTCTCACATTGTTTGAGAATCAAGGCTAAGGGTAGTTTATATACAACACCCGTACACCTCAACCCAACAAGACGCCTTTTCTAAAGGACAAAGCCGTGAGGTTCTCACATCCAAAACGGACAATACAAGGTCGTAGAGCCGCGGACTTGAGGTTGACCGAAACTTTGACGCCTTCTATAGGACCTCGAAGTTTGCACCGTGCCCCTTAGCCTCGGCTGAGGGGCAAGTGTTACGAACTCGCCAAAATAATCCCCACATTGCATAAGAATCAAGTCCAAGGGAAATTTATATACAACACTCATATCCCTCGATCCAACTTTGTCCTTTCCAAAAGAAAGCGGCCGGGAGGGTTGTTACACCCAAAGCCGACAATACCTCATAGTCGCATTGACACAAACTTGAGGTCGTGAGGGTTCTTACACCCAAAGCGGACAATACCTCATAGTCGCATTGACGCAAACTTGAGGTCGACCGGATCTTCTACACGTCTCTTTCATACATGTTTAAACTATCTAAGCTGATATTCTAACATCTTCCCCACTTCAAGGTTACTCTAATTTTTCTCTAGAAATCAATGCCAAATTAATTTGGAGTAAGTATAGACATTGTGATTCCTAAATGTAGTGAAATTGCAAAAACTTAAATTACAACAAGTACATGTCTTGTAGCAAGTAGTAATTAATAGTAAGAATTGGCAAGAAAAAAGATAGAAAGAGAGAGAAATGGGCAGACTTTTGAGGATAACATGCTCTACTTGAGAGAAATCTATGAGACCCTTGTGACCCAAAGCTTTAGCAAGTTCTCTGGGAAAAGAAATTGAGAGTGAGTGTTGGAGAATGGAATTGAAAAAGCAAAAGAGGTGAATAGAAGAAGAAGAAGAAAGTTACAGAAGGGTGGAGTCTCTAATGGATCCATTGAGGTGAGCATGGAGTTCTATCTTTGGCATTGACATACACCACTCCATTTCTCTCTTCCCGATTTGGGTGAATTTTGACCCCAACTCGCGTTTCTTTTATTTAAGGGACTTTTTCACTCCCGCCACTATAATGTAGGTTTAGTACAATATGGAAATTTTGTTTTATATTATTAGTATATAGCAATAGACGGCAAGCTGTTGATTATTATTCATGAACTTAAGGAATCAATGCCTTATTATCATGGACTATCCATTAATTTTAACTAACAATAGACGGCATGCTTCATGAATGTTCACAATATCATGGACTATCCATTAATTTTACTAGAGTCGATGAAGATGAACATGGAGGTTCATCCTTATGTTATAGATGCAAAAGAGAGAGAGAGAAGAATAAGGAATATGAAAGTTATATTGTTATTGTATTCAATACACTCATGAATATACCATATATATGCACATAGTTCATATAAGAGTAGAGTCTTTACTCTCTTCACTCTTATCTCTAATACCCCCCTCAAATTCATGGCGAGGTTCTCTAAACTTGTAACCTTGAGTTTGTGCCTTAAATTCTGAAATGCTCCAATGCCAAGAGGTTTGGTGAGCGTGTCAGCGAGTTGTATAGATGTCGGGACATGATGCACACGTAGTTGTCCAGCCACAACACGTCCACACACAAAGTGTATGTCAAATTCAATATGCTTGGTGTGAGCATAAAGAACAGGATTATGAGATAACAGCACCGCACTTAAGTTATCACACGTTAGAATAGGAGTGTGATACGTGACTTTGAGCTCAGACAATAAAGACTCAAGCCGCAGTAGTTCAGAGGTGGTGTGAGCGAGAGCGTGATATTTTGCCTCCGTGCTGGAGCGAGCAACTAAGGCTTGCTTCTTAGAGCTCCACGAGACAAGATTGAGACCAAAAACTATACACGAACCAGACGTGGAACGCCTATCGTCCGGGTCACTGGCCCAATCGGAGTCACTATAGGCATGAAGAGACAATTTGGTAGTTGTAGCTGATGGAGATAGATGTAAACCATAGGAGATAGTACCACTTAGATACCGGAGAATCCGTCTAACTGCAAACCAATGAGTATCTAGTGGATCAGACATGAATTGGCAAGCCTTATTGACACCGTAGGCAATGTCTGATCTAGTTAAAGTCACATACTGCAATGCACCCACAATAGATCTACAGAAGGAGGGATCTGCCAATTTTGAAGCTCCATGTTTGCTGAGTTTGCAGCTGATCATCATGGGGGTTGGAACTTCATTGGCATTGACCATGTTTGCGCGAGACAGAAGATCCCTGTTGTACTTTGACTGTGTCAAAAGCATTGAGCCATCTGTTTGAAAAGAAACTTCAATGCCAAGAAAATACTTTGGTCTGCCAGACTTTTTCAATGCAAAGGCAGTGTGAAGTTGGTGTATTAATGTATGAATGAGAGTGTGATCAGACCCTGTAATCAGTATGTCATCCACATACACCAGAGCATATAAAACAGTGCCTTGAGAGCAGTAGAGAAACAGAGAATTATCACATTTGGATGTGGTAAATCCAAACTGGATTAGGGTTTGTGTCAGTTTTTCATACCAGGCCCGTGGAGCCTGCTTAAGGCCATAGATTGTCTTGTGTAGCTTGCATACAAGAGTCTTGTCAGATGTGGCAAAACCTGGAGGTTGAATCATGTAAACTTCATCAGTTAAAGTGCCATTGAGAAAGACATTGTTGACATCAATTTGTTGGATGTCCCATTTGTGTGTGAGAGCCAAGGTGAGGATGACTCTGATAGTGGTGGGTTTCACAACAGGAGAGAATGTTTCAGTGTAGTCAAAACCATGTTCCTGATGATATCCCTTGGCTACAAGTCTAGCTTTGTACTTATTGATAGATCCATTCATCATTTTCCTTGATTTTGAAGACCCATCTACAACCCACAGCTTTCCTTTCAAGTGGTAGTGTTGTGAGAGTCCATGTGTGATTTGCCTATAAGGCATCAAACTCATACTGCATAGTAGTGTTCCAAAAAGGGTGAGAGAAAGCTTGTTTAATAGTAGTTGGTTCAGATTCAGTGTGTGCCAATAGTGCCTTAGGTTTTGATCTCTCAGTCTTGGCTCTGGTCATCATAGGATGATCATTAACCAAGAGTGAAGGTTAAGGTCTGTGGCTGGGAATGGATGGGGAGTGAGAAGACTCAAATGTGTAAACAGGGAATGTGGGGGTGTGAGGATGATTTTAAGGGAGTGAAGGTATAAGTATTTTCAGTAGTGGATAGAGGTTGTGTATTACCCTCTGGAAAGACAGGGGACTCAGTCTCTGAGCTGGAAAAGTTGTTATCAGGTCTATGGACTTTTGAGCAGGATTGTTAAGGTGTGTAGAGGGGCCTGCTGCAGAGGTGTGAGGTGAGATGTCCTTTAAAGTGGGAGCAGACTTGGGAGTACCTGTCAAATTACCTTGAGTAGCCTGTGAGGTAGTAGGTGTTATATGAGATGTAGAAATACCAAGAGGAGGTGAACTAGTGGTGATATGGTCTATGGCCAGAGTAGATTGATTAGGTTGCTCAGACATTAGCACTGTCAGAGGGGCTAGGTGCGTAGACATGTGTTGAGTAGATGTAGGATCCATGCTTTGAACTGTTGGGTCAGAGTTGACAGGGATGACAGCTGGGACCTGAGGTGATGTAGTAGCTGTCTTGGATGGTAGTGTTGATGGACAGGCAAGAGACTTGTTTATGGAAGCAGGGTCTGCTGTAGTATTTGGCTGAAATAGCTGAGGAAAGGGAAAGTGTTCCTCATTGAAAGTGACATCCTTAGAGATGTAGATTTTTCCAGAACTGCTTAGACATTTGAACCCTTTGTGTTGAGGAGAAACTCCAAGATATACACACTCCTGGCTCCTTAGTTGAAGTTTGTGCTGATTATATGGTCTGAGTAGGGGATAACAGGCACAACCAAATACTCTAATGGTTTTGTAATCAGGGTGCTTATCATAAAGAGCATGAAAAGGTGAGTGATGTGTAGTCAGCAGAGATGTTGGCAATCTGTTCATTAGATACATAGCAGTAGCAAAACTATGATCCCAGTATGTTAGAGGAACAAATGAATGAGCTAGAAGAGTTAGGCCCATCTCAACAATAGTTCTGTGTTTTCTCTCAACTGAACCATTTTGATGTGAGATATGAGGGTAAGTTAACCTATGTGTTATGCCAAGATCCTGCAGAAAAATCTAGTGAATGGTCTGAATTCACCACCAAAGTCAGACTGAACTGACTTGATTGTAAAATCAAATTGAGTTTGAACAAACTTATGGAACAGTTTAAAAGCACCTAGAGCCTCAGACTTTTGTTTAAGAAAATACAGCCATGTATATCTAGTGTGAGCATCAACAAAAGCAATATAATACCTAAAACCAGAACTAGATGGTGAGGGGGAAGGACCTTAAAGATCAGTGTATATTACATCAAAAGCTTTACTATACACATGATGTGTAAGAGGGGCATGAAGCCTATGAGCCTTACCAAGATTACATGATTTGCAAAAACTGTTTTGTTTATTTGAATGAGGAATGTTACACAACTTTAGTATTTGAGCAACAGATGCAGAGTTAGCATGTCCTAACCTATGATGCCAAAGCATACTATTATTACATGTATTATCTATAGAACAATCCAACTGACAAGTAGGTGTGGATTGCACAACTGTATAGCTTTGAACCTGTCATGACTTATTTAAAGAGGTATGCAGACTGTGAGACCTTGAGGACTCCAAAGGTAGAAGGGGAAAGCAGTAGAGACCAATGGCATCTAGGATTCCTTCAACCAGAATTTGTCTAGAAGCCTGAGATTTAATATAGCATTTGTTAGACAAAAAATCAAAGACGACATGATTATCATGAGAGAATTTGGAAACAGAGAGAAGATTTCTAGTAATAGCTGGTTCTGGTAGAACTCTTGCTTTTTTAATTCTTGTTGTGGAGCTTTTGAGTAGGCTTAAATTTAATCCTCGAAGTGGAACTAGTGTTGTTTCATATATCCCACTAGAGAGCTTGCCATTCAGGTACTAAATTTTGCCGATAATTCTTTCTTGGGCATCTTGATGTATACTTAAACTATGTAGTTGGAATTATGGTAAATTTTGGATTAATTTCTAGCTTATGATTATATGAAATTTTCTATGAAAATAAGTTGATGTTCTTAAATAGCTTATGGTTTGTATAGAGATGTTAAATGATAAAGGTGCAATTTTTATAGTTTATTGGAGCTTATCATTTTAAATTAGAGTTACAAAAGTTCTTTATGGAAAGGTTTACGGTTTTTGTTATTCTTTATGATGTTTTATCATGTTTGATGCAAGCGGATTTTGTTATCTAGTTCTCCTTATTTGCGGATTTTAGATTTCTTTACTTCTTCTTTTTATAACTTTATGTATTTACACATTTCTTTTATTTTTATTTTATCTCTAGTAATCAATACAAAAATTATAAATTTTTATTTTCATTTGTCTTCTTTCCATAAACTATTAATTTAATTATTTATTTTATTTTTTTAATTTGCAAATAATTGATCATAATTCCACAGGAATTCAAATTATTAATGTAATAATTTCAATAGTATATGTTATTAATGACAAATATTATTTTTAAATTAATGAGTGAATCTTAATATTTTTCTATAAATAAAAATAAATTTTATTATTTAAAAATTTTTTATGAATAATATCAAAACAAATATAATATTATATACAAGAAAATATACCGTTCATATAAATATTTTAATATATAAAAAAAATATTTATAATCTATATATAAATAAAAATAAAAAAAATTTTAAAAAACAATAAATTCTAAACAATTTTTATTTATTTTTTAATATTATTATTATATTTTAAAAATAAATGCCCGTACTAAATCAATACATCCTAATATGCCACGAGTAAAAAGTAAAAAATAAAATTGTAGGGTAAAAAGTTGACTAATATGTTAGTTAAACTAGTGCACTCGATTGATCTAAAGGACATAATTAATTGAAAGACAGAGTGATTTTC